GAAAGGGCGAGCATGTTTGGTTTGACGGGGACTCGAACCCACGACCCTCAGATTACGAGTCGAGCGCCTTAGCTACCCGATAAATAACAAGCTCATGATTAAACCACAATCCCAACAAATCCGTCAAATGACTTGTTTCTAGTCTCAAAAGGAAATCTTAAAATATCCAGAAAATGTGCCATGTACAAAAACTTACTCTCAACTTCAAACAGGTTCTTGTATTTTGTTTGTTTGCTGTTAAGCACACAATGCTAAAAAATTGGTAATTTGTGCTTTGCCCGCCAAAGGAATCAAAACACGATTCTTAGCGCTGTAAGCCCTTATTAGACTTACCGCCGAGCCACCAGCGGACGAGTTTCCTAAAGTACTAAATGCATTTTTTACATGTTTTACATCTCTCAGATTCCTATGTCATTGTTGCCGCTGGCTCTTTTGTCGCTTTTTCCGTGTGCCGCTTTCTAAGTGCACTAACTAATTATTTCCGCATTTGTATACTTAGATAACAAAGGTAAAAGATACAGGCCAATGACTAAAAATTCATTATCTCTGTGAATATATATATATATTGCCAATTTAAGCTTCATCCACTGAAACTACCTAGGTCAAGTATGACACAAAAGAATAACCATTTCAAATGTTTACTTCGAATCTTATTAAAGGTTTTTCTTTTTCTAAGTGACCGCAATATATTTTTTTTTCTTTACCAAAACCTCTTTTATATAAATATAAGGAAACTATTCTTAGATTGCACTCGAAAAAAACAACAACCAAAAAAAAATTTTTTTTTAAGAAATTAATTTAGTGCTATTTAGAGACATTTAGGAGTGTTTCCAAAAATAAAGCCCCCCAGTGGCACAGCGGTATGTCTGCGGACCTACATAGCCCATCGTGTAGCTTTGTGCTTAATTACAAACAAACAAACCAAAAAATATGTCAGGGTAAAAATTAGGACAAACGTTCGGTTCGTATTGGTGACTGACACTCGTTTGTCGACAAGATAGTTTTTACATAAAGTGTGGTAGTTAAAAGCAACATTAGTCAAATATATTTACAAAACAATAAATCTTCATTACCTTATAACTTAAGGCGAGTTATCTCTCTCTTGTGATGTAGTCGGCTATGGTGATGTCTTAGCCTCACTTTATAAGACCTGGTGAGTTATCTCCGTCTGGCGATGTTGACGATGATAATGGAGTCTTAGCCTCAAACCTGGTTGGTTTTCTGAAATATTAATTGAAAAAACGTTAATCTTACATAAACTAGATTTGTTCTGTTTCAAGAGTAAATGAAACCAAAATTAAAAGTAACAAATATTTTCGTTTCTTGCTTTTGAAGTTCACATGTCATGCTGTTGCAGCATACAGAGTGCATAATTCTTCTCGTGATTCATGGCATGCGCACGTTTAACTGACGTCCATGACAGTACAAGTTGCAGCGTTAAGCTTCCCCATATGTGACGTCATTTTAGTGTCTACAAACTGACTAATCGACTGTCAGACAACACAGTACTGTATAGTGGTGCGAGGGATTAAAACAGACGACCCCTTCAAGCGGCTTTCGGGAAAATGAAATTAAACATTTTAAATTTATAATTGTACGTTTTGTTTTGATTTATAGGGATGAGAAAAGCAAAGGAAACTTTTAGCTCGTATTACGTCCATAAAGGACGAAGGTTTTAAGTTACCGGAAGCCAGAGGGGTCTGCATGTTCTTTGATGTATTCTAAGCCATCTTGGAGCACTGAAGATTCACAATATTTACTGATACGGTGATTAATAAACATTGGAGATTTGCCACTTTAACTCATGTTCCAATTATCAAAATGACAGACCAGTTAACATTCAAACTGGTCATTTCATAAAATATTTCGGGCCGGCATGGCCAGGTGGTTAGAACACTCGATTCGCAATCTGCGGGTCGCGGGTTCGAATCCCCGTCCCACCAAACATGCTCGCCCTTTCAGCCGTGGGGTCGTTATAATATGACGGTCAATCCCACTATTCGTTGGTAAAAGAGTAGCTCAAGAGTTGGCGGTGGGTGGTGATCACTAGCTGCCTTTCCTCTTGTCTTACATTGCTAAATTAGGGACGGCTAGCGCAGGTAGCGAAATTCAAAACAAACAAACAAGCATAAAATATTTACACAGATACAACAAATAAATATTTAGAATTGAAATAATCAAACAATTAACTGATCGCTACAAATCAGTTTCCATCAGAAAATTGAGAAACCGAGTCTTATAAAAAGCAGATACGAACACTTTTTTAAAAAATAACGTCAGCGTTGAACGATGTCTTGCGTGTCTCCAACTTCCCCAGTTTCGTCATATTTCCCCATATTTAAAGTAACTTACGAGACTAGAAATGATTTTGGATGATTTGTTTCTTTGTGGTTAAGCACAAACTACAGAATAGGCTATCTGTGCTCTGCCCACTACGTGTATCAAAACCCGGTTCCTAGCGTGCCACTGGAGGGAAAATAATATTAGAATCTGCGACCTTTAATACGTTTTCGATATGTGTTCATTTGTAAAAAAAAATAACAATTTCGAGAATTTTGTCTATACCTGTTTCCCACAACTTTCATCATGTCTATTTCTGTTCAGTTTGTTTGTTTGTTTTCAATTTCGCGCA